AAAGTTTCCTCAGATTAACAGATTTCGCGGTATTGACGAAGGCCAACAAAATTCATGTTATTGAGCTGCGGTTTGTGTCACAATTTGGCGCAAACATAGCGCAACACAATACAATCAAGAAAATTACAAAATTTGAAAAATGCGGGGCTAGCAAAAAATATGTTTTTTTTATTTTTGGGAAACACTTCATGTTATTGAGCTGCGGTTCGCGGCACAAATCAGCACAAACGTAGCACAACACAATTAACACAGCACAATTAACATAGTTACAAAATTCGAAAAGGGCGGGGCCAACTTTATACACGTGCCTTCAGGTTTGTTCGCATGTTCCAATATGCTCTAACATGCTCAAACTCATTTCACGAAATGGCAAACCATGTCTATGCATTACTTCATATTAAAATTTTTATTGTATTCATTCTGAATTAATCAATTCTGTATTCTAGTTTTAAATAGTGTTTAAACGAAAGTATGGTTGTGTTCCAAAATTACTGCCAGTACTGGAAATCTATAGTTTACGTTACGTGCACTATAGATCTTCAGTACTGGCAGTAAATTTCGAAATACAGTCTATCTTGCTTTCTTTATCGAAAAAAAGGAGGAAGAAAGGAGGGGGGAGAGAGGGAGAGAGAGAGGGGGGAGCGGGAGAGGGAGAGGGGAGAGAGAGAGAGAGAGAACGCGTCTGTTTGATGTAATGAGATTAAAATAACATGTGTTTAGATTTAAATCGTTTCATGCTGACGTTCATTTTTAGCTCCAAAATATAGGCTACGTGATTAAAATTGATGAATATCTAATGTCAATTTTGATAACATGACGCTAAAAATAAGCATCGAGCATGAGAAGATTCCTACAGAATGTATAGAATGATTCTCTATGCTAATTTCGCGTCTCTTTAGAGGATTTTTTTCGAGAAATGCAGCACTCTCGGTGATATCAAGTTGATTTTTTTTGCATAAAAAAATCGATAGATGAAGAACTCATAGCTTTTCGATTACAAATCAAATAATAAGAACTTTCCGAAAATTACGGAAAAGACAAAGTAACAAAATAAAAGCTTTAGTTTGAAATCAAATTTATTTTAAAATTTATTTTTATTTATTAAACTTTTGAGTCTGAGTAGTTACAAAGATATATGTACAATGATATATTGCCAAGGATATAAAAGTTGTAATAGTAGGTAGTGATTGCTCATGTCGTATTCTCCAAGAAGAATCAAATAACAAATAGTTATAGGACTCTTAGTTTCTTAAAAGACAATACAAAAATGTATAGGGCACATAAAAGTCAACGTAATTAAGTATAAATATAAGAATTATGATATATTAAATGTATAAAAAAATTCTATAAATAACACATTGTAAAATACATTACATTATATGTTTTGATTCTTGAGTTGAGCCATCCTCAGATAATAATTTACAATCTTAACATTCATTTCCATTGTCATAGAAAAATTGTGATGAAAATTTTTCAATTTTATTGCGATATTGATGAATGCCTCACGGAGACCAATTACTTGCAAGCGATTTACTAATCGATTGTTCGAAATTTCATGATATTCTAATTAAAGAAATATATTTGTTAATTAAATAAATAAAAATAAAAAAATAAGAATCTAAATAAAAAAATTAATAAAAAGTTGATTAATAAATAAAAAGAAATAAAAATAAAAATAAGAATAAAACTAAATAAGATAAAAATTTGTTAAAATATTATCTACTTTTAAATTCCGTAAAAATCAAACAACAACATCATTTCAATAAAACATTCACCAACGTGATCGCAGTTATCATTTCTTAAGAAGAAATATTTCATCAAATTCATTATAAAATCGTATAAAATATAAGAATATACCAGTTAGATAGTAATAATACACAGTCACTACATTAAAACTTGAGAGAGAGATAATTTGTACAGATCGAATCTTCCAAAAAGAATTTTTTGAAAGATATGTTAACGGTAAGGCTGACTATCACTATCTGAGAGGCAATTAATAGATTTACAAAACGACTAGATAAGAACAATGTTAAATTTTATAATCGATTTTATATGCTTTGTGAAGGCCCTCCGTGTCTGTTTGGAGATTAAGACTGTATTTTGCATTTTAATATTTAACATTTCAGAAATTAAAGGCGTTTATTATAATATGGCTCTTCCTCAAAAGTATCTGGATGTTATTCCAATCAAAATCATTATTGTTTGTACAATCGCGTACTACTGTTCCTCCACGTTGAATACTTCTAACTCTAACATTGATTGTGTCAAAAAAATGAATTTGAGGGGATAATCATTTTCTATTAATATATTAACAATTAATGTACGATTTTTTTGATAGAATTTAAAGTCAAATAACAATAAGGCTCTGTCTACCAAACCAAAAATTATACTCTTCTTTTGGAAGATAAAATAATTTGAAAAATAATTTAAAAACCTTCCCGAAAAAGTCGATTTTTGATACCAATCGAAGGTTAAATGTTTTTCTCTGACCATAATCGTAACATCAAAGAAATTTAGCGAGTCAGAGCCTATTTCTAACGTAAATTGTAGATGTGAATGAAACGAATTAAAACTTTTAAAAAATGAATTGATTTCAGAGGAAAAAAACAGCAGCAACTAGATGATAACGATAATAAAAAAGAAACTGATTGTAAGATTATTGTAAGATAACAAAGACATTCTCTCTAATTTTTGCATTAGTAAGTCTGCAATGATGGGTGACAACGGAGAACCTATAGATGTGCTGAAATTCTGTTTATAAATGGTATTATTAAATGTAAAATATGTTGAATCTAGAATAAACTTATACTGCAATCTATGTTATGTAACCGAACATAGACACATGATTTTGATTGGAATAACACCTAGATACTAGATGACCATGTTATAATAAACACTTAATTTCTGAAATGTTAAATATTAAAAAGCAAAAAAAAACAGTTTTAACCTCCAAACAGACACGGGGGGCCTTTATAAAGCATATACATCGATTAACAAAATTTGACATTGTTCTTATCTAGTCGTTTTTGTCAATCTATTAATTGCCTCTCAGGTAGTGACAGTCAACCTTACTGTTAACATATCTTTCAAAAAATTCTTTCTGGAAGATCTGTTTTTCAAAACAAATTATCTCTTTCAAGTTTTAATATAGTGACTGTGAATTACACATATTATTACTATCTAGTATACTACCTCTTATATTTTACACGATTTTATGAATTTGATGCAGTATTTCTTCTTAAGAAATGATAACTGCGATCACGTTGGTGAGTGTTTTATTGAGATGATGTTGTTGCTTGGTTTTGACAGAATTTAAAAGTAGATAATATTTTAACAGATTTTTATTTTATTTAGATTCTTATTTTTTTATTTTTATTTATTGGTTAACAAATACATTTCTTTAATTAGAATTTATAAAATTTCGAACAATCGGTCAGTAAATCGCTTGCAAGTAATTCATAGTCTTCGTGAGGCATTCATCATCGCTATATAAATTGGAAAACTTTCATCGCGATTTTTCTATGACGATAGAAATGAATTTTAAAGTTGTGAATTTTGTATTATCTGAGGATGGCTCAATTCAAGAGCCAAAGCATATAATGTAATGTAATATGTTTTACAATGCACAATATTATTTATAAAATTTTTTTATACATTTAATATATCATATTATAATTCTTACATTTATACTTAATTATGTTGACTCTTATGTGCCCTATACATCTTTGTATTGTCCTCTAAGAGGAATTTGATTTAAAATTTGCCCCAAGTAGAAGAACTTAACACGAAACAATCTATGTGCGAAGGTATTTATACGCGTCCCAAGACCCACGCGTCTTGTGTCCTTCGATTTATGCTACCTCTATGTTAATGATATTACGTGAAAACGTTGATAACTATCATGTTGGGATGTAGATTACAATTATCTCTAAAGTATATCGCACACGGAGTGAAAAAAAAATTATAAAATTGATGAAAAGAAACGAGTATTGCTTTTGTTGATGAGAAGCAACCCCTTTCGAGGCGAGGATTCAGGATGGTTGGAAATCACTGGATACGCTGCGCTACGACGCGTCGGGCGTTGGTAAGGCATCCGCGACGCGTAGTGAAGCAAAGGGGGCTGTACAAGGGGGAAAGAGCGTCATAGCGTGTGTGAGTGAAACGTATCGGGGCTCGGTCGAAAGGGAGAAAAAGAGAGAAAATTCAAGGGGAAGAGAGAGAAAATGAGAATGAAAGGAAGGAGGAAAAGACAGAGAGAAAGAAGGAGAGGGAGAGAGCGCGCGCGCGCGCGAGAGAGAGAGAGAGAGAACGATGCTCTCCCTATGAAACGCTATACATATATGTGCGTATGCGTGCGCGGGGAGTTTCGAAAGGCAGAGCACACGATGACGACGACAACGACGACGACGACGACGAGACGGCGACGACGGCGACGACGACGACAACATACACGACTACTACTATGACGCCGCGTGGGGGTTGCACGAAGACCCCCTGGTGGGGTTCTGGCCGCCGACCCTACAGTCCCCCGCTGGAAATGATATCAGTCGCGACTCGGTCGAGGGAGCCCTAGCACATCGTATTACACCGTCGGTCGCGCCGTGCCCCTCGCAGAGTATAATCTCATAAGTTTCATTGTCCCGTGATATATTTTGAATATTGCTCTTCCAGCAAGTGTACATTCGTTGTAGCCGTCGCTGCCTGAAAACTCGTAAACACCACTGTAAATCTAATACACGAGGCCTATATCCAAAAAAAGAGGGAAGTCCCCATAATCATCATTTACTCTGAGCAAAATCGAAGATTTTACATTGGAGATCATAGAAACTCGGGGTAGTTGTCATACGACGTTTCTTGCGCGATCAAGAGGAAATTGTTACGAGTGAGAAAAGTGGTAAGCTCTTCGCCTTATTTCCTTCTCCCGCCTCTGTCGCCGGAGCGCGATCCGGAGGCGCGACGTCAACGTCGAGGCGCAGATATTAATAGAGCTCGGAGAGAGAAGGTATCAGCGTGGCGCGGCGTGGTGCGGCACGGTGCGGTGAATGCGATTCTAACGTCTTCTTTCGCGTTTGATGATTTCGCGCGAGACTCACGCATTCCTGGGATATGGCGATCACGTGCGAGCTTCGTCGATGCTTTTTTTGCGGTTGTTTGCCTTTTCATCCTCCTTAGTGTCTGTGCCCTAAGTCGCACGTGAGTGATAGACTACCAGCGTGCATTCAAACGTATGAGAGCCCAATGCATTTCTCTCGTAGTTTTCGCTAATTCATTTGTCAAAACAGTCTTCCTAATCGTTGCCAGATTGGTTACTGGTACTGCGCGTTACATCAGTACGTGAGCTTAACAGAACAACGGCTCATGACATACAAGGCTTCTTCATGGCATTGTCGCAACAGAGCGACATTTCTCGACACGAATTTGAGATATGAGAATCGCCACACGTATTAATTAGCAGAACTTACATTTACTCAGGTAGAACACAGAGTCATGGTATTATAGAATGTCATCGTAACTTTATTTGTATGAGTAAATTTATAAGTGAGACAAATAAGATTACGATAATATTATTACGATTTCTGCATTCTATTTGCACGTAATTTTCTTATGTTGTGTTATAGAATTCTTTTTTAGAGACTACAATAAGCCATTACTCAAGCTTTAAGTTTTAAAGAAATTAAGCCGTAAGAAATTAATCATTGTTTTTTTTTGTGATTTGTCAATTACTAATTATGGCTTAAGACTTAAGTTTAGGGAACAGTATTGAATCACCCAAAATATCAATTGTTCTTAATTTTCTTAGTCATCATTGAACGTTTCTAAGTTTATAATTAGATTTTTCACCTGAAAGTCATGCCGCTCGATTTCACGCATTCGCGAATTTTTTCCGGTTGCATTGCTCACATGAGAAAAGATATGGAAAAAAGGATGCGTTTGTCCCATTCCTGCACAAGGAATGGAAGTCCTTTGGAAATGCGTGGGAGGGTCCACCAACAAAATTATGGATCGAGGCTACGCGAGGGTTCACGACTGCGCATGACTATTCGCCGTTATTACCCTAGTCATACACACGTACATGCCGAACGCACGAGCCCTTTCCTGCTGGAGAACCTCTTCTTTGAGATCCCTTGTTCTTGGAGGCGTTACGAGGCACTGTGGTACGTGCCAGCATAGGGCAAAATTTGGAGGTGCGCAAAATTTTAATAGGCAGCACTACTCTTGTAAATATAAAGCTATACTTTACTTGATATTTTAAATGAATTAGTTAAAAGTGGTTTTCTGGAAATTTTGCAAATTCAGCAATAGCGTTATTATTATTAACTGTGCCAATGTCTGTGGCAACTGCAAAAGCATCTTTTTCAAAATTAAAAATAATAAAGAATTATCTGAAAAATATAATAACGCAGACGTGGTTATTTAGTGGCGATTTAGCTATGATATCAATTGAAAAAGAACAGTTTTAGTGATTATGTAATCAATCTTACGTAACAATTGAAAACATAATCAGAATATTTTCGGAAACTAAAGCCAGAAAATATAATAGTATCAATCAAGGTTTATAATGCCAATGAGAGCCAACACTGTTGTGTGTGTGTGTGTAATCAAATATTATATACAGGGTTGGACATATTCGACGGAAAGATGTTTTTTTTTTCAATCATGGGAAAGAGATGTTAGATCGAGTAACGACGTTTCCCATGATTGAAAAAAAAAACATCTTTCCGTCGAATATGGCCAACCCTGTATATGTCAATCACCGATTACAGACGTTTCGACCATAAGATTCAGTCTTCTTCAGTGTATTGATAACATTTGCGGAGTCAAATTAATTCATTACGATGATGTAGGCGCATATAGTTAATGAAATATCGTTAAGCTATTGTCCAAATTTAAGAACTTCGTAATCGTCTGTTGTACTTGGATACCCAAACACTAATTCAGTCATTTAAATTAATTTTATAAGTGAAATTTTTAAAAAATTATTCATAGTCAAAGTATTAAAATTAATTATATTAGTTAGACAACTTTACTTTGTATTCAGCAAAACGATGATCCGTCATAAACGCGATGTGATTATAACTATGTCTTAAGAGTGTGTGAGAGGACGTTTCATATTCCTATTGTTTATAAGGCTTAATGTCAAATAGTATACATACCAACTCGATATAAAATTCGATGATTCGAAATTACAACTAGTAACAGCAATGAACCGAATTAATTACCAATTTATTTAAAAAATTTATTAGGTGTTGGAATTAATTCGTAGCGTTTTACAAGTGATGGGAAGTACTTTCATTAATGTATTTTTTAATGCTCATGTGAAATAAATAACATTCTTTCATTAAAAACGCTACGAATTAATTCCAACACCTAATATTTTATTTTATTTATTTATCAACATCTTACTTATTAATGGTTATCCTTTAAGGCTAATTTTTGAAAACATTAAAAAAAAGGCTACACACAATTCGAACAACTTAACAATACTACACATCGAATGACTACTGCTAATAAATTAATTATATATTTTACAGTCCCTTTAATAGCAGAGAAGTTCAAGAGATTTTTTAAAAACAGAGCGGTACGTTTGGCATATATAAGACTTAATAAACTTAATATTATTATAAAAATGCAAAAAGATAAATTACCTTCACTATCACAATTTAATGTAGTTTACAAAAATTGTGATGCATCTTACGTGGGTTAAACAAAATGATTACTGAAAACACGAATTAATGAACACCGTAATCACATAAATAGGAATACTACACAACATTCAGTAATTACAGAGCATAAAATGGAGCACAATCACGACTTTGAATGGAACGATATTAAAATCTTAAATGAAGAACAAGGATATAATAAAAGACTAATTTCGGAAGTTATACATATAAAAAAACAAAATAATGGACTAAATTTACAAAATGACATGGAATTGTTGAATCTGATTTATAATGATTTAATTTATAATGATTCATTTAAGAATAAATGATGTTTCCATGTTTTATAAGTTATAAAAATTTGTATGGTTAATTTTTAAATTGGTAATTAATTTCGGTTCATTGCTGTTACTAATTGTAATTTTGTATCGTCGAATTTTATGTTGGTAGGTATGCTATTTAACATTAAGACTTATAAACAATGAGAATACGAAGCGTCCTCTCACACACTCTCAAGATATAGTTATAACTACGTCGCATTTATAACGGATTATCGTTATGCTGAGTACAAAGTAAGATTATCTAACTGAATGTAATTAATTTTAATACTGTGACTATGAATACTAGCTTGATCAAAAAGTTTCCGGAATTCATTCAGAAAATTCAAAACAAGTTTATTCATCAAAAGTGATATTGTTCCCTTCAAAGTACTCTCCAGCGACTGCAACGCACTTATGCCAGCGCTTGATCCAGCTCTCGAAACATTTCTGGAACTCTATTATTGGTATAGCCATCAGAGCCGTCTTCGAGGTTTCCATTACCTCCTTGCGGCTATTAAAACGCGTTCCCCGCAGGTTTTTTGACTCGATCGAACAGAAAAAAATCGCGGGGAGCCATATCGGGTGAATTCGATGGCTGTTGGATTGTATTCGTTGTTGCAAACTCGTTGTTGCAAATTCAACTCCATTTTTAAAACTGTAAAAAATCGAAAACACGCGCAGAGGTAGATGTACTCAAGACGATGTAATTTTTACAAATGTCAAGCTATGGCGATAAAATTTGATGGAAATGTCAATGATAGATGTGCCAACCTAGTCAAAAAAAAGAACTCAAACCAGCTGACTCAGAGCATCGCCTGGTGGTCTCTTCCGGAAACTTTTTGATCAAGCTGGTAAGTTTTTAAAAATTTTACATATAAAATTAATTTTAGCTGAAATGACTAAATTAATGTTTGGGTATATAGGATAACAGACGGAAATTGTTAAATTTGGACAACAGCCTAACGACGTATCATTAACTGTATGCGCTATATCATTATAATGAATTAATTTGACTCTGAAAATGTTATGGACACACTGAAGAGGGTCAAATTTTATGATCGAAACGTCTGTAATTGATATATAACTTCGGTGATTGATATATATATATATATAAAATATTTGATTACATACTTACAACAATGTTGGCTCTCATTGGCATTATAAATCTTTATTGATTTAATCATTGGAGCTTTATTTAACTTTTATTTGATATAATAGTATGTTGCATTAAGCATCAAATATATTATTACAAAAGAAAATATGAAATTTATGTATTCGTATTCCCGTGTTATACAAATTGATGGAAATTTCTTCTTTTTTTTTAGTTGTTGGTTCATTGCCGTTAGCAGGGGATTGGTGCTTCAGAGACTTAGCAATTCTTGTAATGGGGAACAAAAGCAAATTCCAGCATAGGGCGCCAAAAGCGGTCGTAACACCTCCGCCTATTCTTCGCGAGCATAATATACCCCTGCGAAAGTTTATCAACAATGATGTTCCATGCCCCGCACGGCAACATCTGTCTACATTTCTAATTCGTGACGCGATAAATAAAGTGACTCAGTAAAAAACACCTAAAAATTAAAAAATTAATTTGAATTGGTTTTAGTTCGGACCAAGGCAATAGTGAGAATATTCCGTCGTGAGGTAAGAGCCCGCGAAAATGCGCCAATCGCGGTGCTAAATTATCGCAATATTTGTTTGAAGCGGAATTTACGATGCACGGTCATCAATTATGAGACACGCTATGACACATGAGTGAATATCACTGTATGCGGAATTGGAATAATTCTGCACTGAATGAAAACGCATGATCGAGTCGCACCACTCTCCTCCCTTCTCCTCCTAGGATTATTTACGATAGGATTATTTAATTCATTTATGATGCAATGATCGCGAAGAGCGATATGCTATATGCGCACGCGAGGAATGTACATACATAATGTGCACGTGTGTGAGAATATTAATCTTCCCGATCGTAGTCATATGCACACAGGTAGGAATATTTTGATGCGCAATTCTACTATTCTTTGAATTCCTCAGTTTGCGCATCTTTTGAACGCTTCGCGTCTCGCACTTCCGTGACGTTAGATGTGCTTAAACCACAGGTCGAGGATTGTTTTCGCAAACGAGAGAGAGGGAGGGGAGAGGAAGAGAGAGAGGAGGAAGTTAAAATTTTTAAATCTTTTTTCCTTTCTTATTTCATTGGGTTGTAAAAAAATTGTTGTTGTAAATTGTTGTACATTTTAAGCTCATCATATAACAACATTCTCTGTTCCTCTCTAGTTTTACATTTATGTATTTTCCCCTCTGATCTTGTTTGTACTTCTTTCTCTCTTCTTACTTGCTCTATCTTATTTTTTAAATAATTCGAACAATCTCCATTTACCATTTTATGTATCAAAATACAAACATTGTATTTAATTCTTTCCTTAATTGACATAAATTGCAATGCCTTAAGCATGTCTTCAATTCTTGTTCTGTAATTGCACCGTAATATAATTTTCATTCCTTTATTTTGTAATTTTTGTAAATACTGCACATTATAATTGTTTAAACTTATAAGTTTTACAACTGTTCGGAATCGATTTGATTTTCCATGAAATTTGTTGTAAAACACGAAAATCTAAGAGACACGTAACTTTTTATACGTGCACTAACTCATGTTTAAGGGATAAAACACCCCTTTGAAAAAAAAACGGTATTTTTTTTTATTTTATTAACGCTTCTGTATATACGCTATACATGCTCATATGTGTAAATAATTGTCATCGAAACGATAAAATACATAAATCAACGAATAAGAAAATTGACATGATTGATTATTTGTAATTACACACACATTAAAAATTATAAATAATGTTAAGTGTTATAATAATTTTTATTATTTCTTCTTAAAGTGAGTAAAACTTTTTTATTTATCTCTGTACATTATTTCCTTATAATATCTTAAGATTATTCTCTTAAAGTTATTTTCAGTTTTACTATTTTCAGTTTTAATATCTTATTTACTTGTCATTTACGTAATATTCAAAACGTATACAGGTATATTATACTTAATAATGAAATAATTTCTAAATGTTTGTACACAATAAATTTATATTTTGTATCGTTTACTCATTATACTCGTACAATAATATATATACTAATATATATACTAATATATATATTAATATATATACTAATATACATATATATATATATATATAT